TTTTTTTTTTTTTCCTTAAATGTAGGCTCAAACTTGGCCCAGCTTTCAGGAACACAACCTGGTATTGGGCATGCATTGTCCAAATTTAATGGACAGCTCTGTAATTGAGATGTTTAGAAAATATCAAACATAATATTTATAGTAGTGTATAATAATGTATTATGTTTCTTTATAGAAACTTTCTTTTTTAGAAAATTTTCTTTGTAGAAAAATTACTTACTTGATGCTTTGTGAAGGCATGGGCAAATGATGAAAAATATCTTAATGGCTTAGCTTGACAGTGTAAGAAATTAACTTGTTTACCATTCACAGCTGAAAAAGTTGCTTAGATGTCTCAATTTTCCCAGATGATACACATGAACTATACAAGCAGTGTGCATGTAAAGCTAAGGACTCCACTTTGTAGCCTACATTATTACACATATTTTATACTTAAACACGAGATAAAAAGTAAAAAGAAAGTAAAGCATTTAAAAACATCTAGGACTAAAATTCAAAGAAGTAAAGCATAGCTACACACACACAAGTCATAAAAGTAAGTCAAGGATGTAGGCACAAATTTAAATTACTTTACATAAATCTATTTTTTTATGCATAAGGATCTTGAATTTTTTTATTCATTTCTGTTACCTGCAGTGATATCACTCAGTGCTTTTCCTGGTGTTTGAAGACTGACTTTAATTCTCCCAGCACTCAGATATAAGAGGAAACCACCTGAAATCTGGTGTAATTTGCTAGATAATAAAATTCCTTCCTTGTTCCAGGTGCGAAACTCGAAACTGATGAATAACTCATCTTGCCCTGATATGCCTGGTAGTGCCAAGTAACTACTGGAGCTCAGAAATGTAACAGGAACCACCTGTGGCTCTAAACATGAGAAGGACATGTTGCCCTAGAAAGAGATGAAACAAATGAAACATTAGGAACATTTGAGGAAAAACAGTCATGTGAACATTTGTATAGAAACTACAGAGTTTCAAACCATTGTGCATAGAACCTAATATTTGTAATACCTGAATTGTCTAAAAATCAAGTATGGATATTAAAGTACATCCTTAGTTTGAGAAATGTTTATGGAGTGTTTAACCAGAACAGACATATCTGCAT